CGGCCCGCAGAGACGTGGGTCCGGAGTCGGCTCTTGGGGACGCTCTGTGTATTCAGTCTTGTAAATAATCTATAGATTAGGTCAAGTTATGATGTAAAATTTTAACTCGAATCGGGCACCGCTGGTTGGAATTTTACATTCACTACAAATACACGATTAGGAACAGAAGAGGAGGAACTGGAAAATTCCTGCTTAGTGGCATCCAGATTATGCTTAGATTTCTGCCTATATCTTGTGTTTTCTAGCTCGTTAGTGAGGCATGGGCTGATGCAGAATGGCCTGCATTTATGCAATTAGCAAATAACCGCTAGTTTTCGTTTTATCTCTTATATTAGCAACAAAATGGCATTTAACTGGGAAAAGCTCCTACCTAAATATTTGAGTATCGTGGCATCTCTACTTGCAAGGTCTGAGTGAGAGATTAGTGAAAAAAAAGTATCTTTGTGTTAAAACTGGCTTATTCGAATGGACTGTTGCCTTTTCACCAGTGTGTCGGCTAACCTTTCTTTCTTTCTTTCTTTTATAATAACCCACCTCCTCTGTCTCAGCAGCAATAGGGTTCCATCTTATCACAGAGTATTTTATAATTAATGCTGTTGACTTTATACCCCAAAACGGGTCGGGAAGTGGGTCGTCGGATCGGGGAAGCTTTAATTCGCAAGACGACGAAGTCCGTTGCAACAGGCGGAAAACTTGGGTGCTCTTTCTGTTTCCGGGCTCGAGTTCTGTTGGGGTATAAAGTATTAGGTATCTGTACTTTTGCTGTCAAAATAATGGACATAACGTCTAGCGTGTTCACGGCTAAGCTCTCTGTATTCGTTTTTCAACTAACAGCTCATTTTCAATGTGTTGTATCTTTCATGACCTGTTCTCTTAGATTGTTTTGGGCTAGTGACCCCTTACTCAGCTTCTGCCTTCTGGGGCTTGGACTCATGTGGCTTGTATCCAGTACTGTGACTAAGCCTGGAGCTCGATGCAGCTGCTGCTTACAACGGCTTACACTTTGTAGTTTGGACTTCCTTTTTTTTCTGTAACAGCAACTTATTAAATCTAGTTGTATGAAGTACCGGCGCTTGTCATCCTTTGCCCCGGCCCAGGAGCCCTCGGAGTCCACGGTTTGCGCCCGGGAACGTGGCCCGTTCCAGGCTCCCCGGTCGGCTTTTCCAAAAACCCAAAACCCAAAAGCCTTTTCTCGGCCACAAACGACACGCGTTTACCGGCCGCGCGCGCGCGCGTCTGCAGCAG